AACACTTTTACACTGCTGGTGGGAGTGTAAATTAGTTCAACCATTGTGGAAGACAGTGTGGCCATTCCTCAAGGACCTAGAAATAGAAATTCCATTTGACCCAGCAATCCCATTACTGGGTATATACTCAAAGGACTATAAATAGTTCTAATATAAGGACACATGCACACGAATGTTCATTGCAGCACTGTTTACAATAGCAAAGACCTGGAACCAACCCAAATGCCCATTGATGATAGACTGGACTGGGAAAATGTGGCACATATACACCATGGAATATTATGCAGCAATCAAAAACAATGAGTTCATGTCCTTCGTAGGGACATGGATGAATCTGGAGAACATCATTCTTGGCAAACTGACACAAGAACAGAAAATGAAATACCGCAAATTCTCACTCATAGGCAGGTGATGAACAATGAGAACACATGGACACAGGGAAGGGAGTACTACACACTGGGGTCTATTGGGGGGAATAGAGGAGGGACAGCGGTGGGGGGGAGTTGGGGAGGGATAGCATGGGGAGGAATGCCAGATGTGGGTGAAGAGGAGGAAGGCAGCAAATCACACTGCCACGTGTGTACCTATGCAACTATCTTGCATGTTCTGCACATGTACCCCAAAACCTAAAATGCAATTAAAAAAAAAAAGAAGAAGAAGGGAGATGGGGCGGGGTGTGGTGGCTCACGCCTGTAGTCTCAGCACTCTGGAGGCTGAGGTGGGCAGATTGCCTGAGATTGAGAGTTCAAGACCAGCCTGACCAACATGGAGAAACCTCATCTCTACTAAAAATACAAAATTAGCTGGGTGTGGTGGTGTATGCCTGTAATCCCAGCTACTTGGGAGGCTGAGGCAGGAGAATCGCTTGAACCCAGGAGGTGGAGGTTGCTGTGAGTTGGGATTGCACCATAGCACTCCAGTCTGGGCAACAAGAACGAAACTCTGTCTCAAAAACAACATTTGTTGAGCACCTCGTGTATTCATGCACTGTGCCAGAACTGAACATGTGACTGCCTGGGTTCACAGTGCAGCTCTGTCATTTACTAGCTGATAAACGTGGACAGGTTACTTAAAGGGGGATACAGGCATGGGGAGGATTAAATTTATGGAAAGTATTAGGAGAGTGTATGGCACAAAGTAATATTATCAGGAGAAGCTTAATGTCTCTAAATGTGTGTGTGAGAAAGAGAGAGAGGAAAAGATAAATGATGAAAGGAGTTTAGCAACTGGGACTAAATTGGAAGAGCAGAGTTTGAAAATTTTTTGGGAAAGCTAATTATGAGCATTATTTCATAAATGGCAATCTTTTTTTTCTTTTGAGACACTCTCTCTATTCCCCAGGCTGGAGTACAGTGGCGTGATCTAGGCTCATTGCAACTTCCACCTCCCAGGTTCAAGTGATTCTCCTGCCTCAGCCTCCTGAGCATCTGGGATTACAGGTGCACACCCCACACCTGGCTAATTTTTGTATTTTTGGTAGAGACGGGGTTTCACCATGTTGGCCAGGCTGGTCTCAAACTCCTGACCTCAAGTGATCTGCCTGCCTCAGCCTCCTAAAGTGCTGGGATTACAGGCATGAGCCACCATGCCCAGCCTAGGCAATCTTGACTTTTAACTTGAATTTAAGATTTTTTATGCCAACAGTTCATTTTTTGCCCCTAATTTATATGAATTGAAAACCTTCATCAACTAGGAAAATTGGAGTAAGGTTGTATTGGATTTTTGAATGTTTGGCTAGAAAGAATAATACCTGAGTGCAAGCGGGATGTAACCTCCACATGATTCTGGGGGCCAATGAGGAGAGCCAGAGAAGGATAATGAAAGAGAAGGTGTACCTCAAGTTATCTCAGAGCCTGCCGTAGCTGATTCCTTGCTATGGCATTTAATCCTGCTGACAACTCATGCTGACAACTCAAATAGTGGTTGTGCCCTTTTTGCAGATGAATAAATTGGGGCTCAACCTACTCCATCCTTGCACAGCTGGCAGCCAGGGGCAAAGCATCATGGGGTCACTTTGGTGTCTGTCTGCCACACTGCCCTATGTCTAGTGTGCAGGCAGAGAAGGGGCACGAGAAACTTAGTGCCGTGAGAGTGGCTCAGGGCATGGCCCCTCTCAGGACATGGGCACTTTCCTTGGGGATGAGGGAGCAGAGGCTGCCCCTCCTTTGGTCGATTTAGGAAGACTTCCTGAAGGGAGTATGATTTCAGCAGTTGTTTGGATGTCAGGAGAGAAGCAGTTTGGTAAACTTCTAAGGAATGATGAGTCAGATAAGAAGGATAGGAGGCAATATAAAGACAGGAGTGGGAGGACTGAATATACATTCTTTAAAAATGGTTCTAAAATGTAGTCTCCTGTGTCAGTAAGCTACGCAATTCACTGACTGTGAAGCACAGGTGATCTTTTTGGTCTTCTTCTGCAGGTGTGGCAGTGTGGAGGGAAGATCGAGGTTTTGCCCTGCTCCCGGATTGGTCACCTAGAGATAGCACAAGCCCTGTGACTTGGATCTGACCCCTGCCTTAAAGTGTAGTGCTCTGCGAGTGACTGGCCTTGAATTTCCTTCCCTGGAATTGCCCTGCCCTGCCTTGCCATGCCTCGAATTGCCTTGCCTCGCCCTGCCCTGCCCTGCCCTGCCCTGCCCAGGATGAGCAGCGGTGAAGGATGCTCCTGGGGTCCCTGGCTGGTAAAGGTATTAGGGGTCGCACGTACCTGGGCTGAGGCAAGAATACGTGTCCGGAGTAGCAGTGGCACTGGTAGCCCTTCACTGTCCATTGAGGAGCTTCTGCGCGACCTTGCACTCGTGCCTAGCAGGTGCCGGGAGGTTGGTGGGCAGCATCTACTCGCTGAGTCGGGTCCCTGCCGCTCCTGGCCCTGCAGACTGGGAAATCTTAAAACTCCTCTTTGGAGTTTATAGGTGACTGCAGCCAGTCGGGAGCCTGTCTATGCGGATGTACCGGCTCTGCAGCGGCTTCCATCACCAGCCTGCGCATGCGCGCTCCTGGAAGACCCAGCGGCACCGCCTCTACTTCCGATTGGCTCCGCGTGAGGGGCCGGCCTCTGAAAACATCATGGCGGCGCGCCTCTAGTGACGTCAGGCGGGCTCCTCCGGTGACGCTTCGGCGGGTGCCTCCGGTGACATTACGGCGCACGGAGACGGGCCTCCGGCGACGTCACAGAGGCGAGCCTTAGGCGACTTCACGCGGAGGTGTGTTGCCTAGGAGCTGTGTTGTCTTCTCCCCAGAGCAGAGTCCGGTAACCTCCATGTTCCGCCGCGTCCTGTGTGCTGCTGGCTGGAGAAGGGTAGGTAACAAATTCCGACCCAGCACAGTATTTATGTGGGTTAAAAAATAGAAAAAGTGTGTCCGGACACTGGGGAGGTGGGAAGTTTTCTTCAGGCCAGGAGTTCAAGAGCAGCCTAGCAAAGTGGTGTGACCCCATTTCGGTATCCCACCTCAGCCTCCCAGCTACTTGAACCCCAAGGTTCAAGGCTGCAATGAGCTATGATCCTACCACGGCACTCCAGCCTGCGAGACTGAGGTAAACCCGGTCTAAAAAAATTAAAAAACTATCCAAGCGTGCGACATTGGGGGACTGCTTGAAGAAAAATTGAGGCTGCCTGGGCCCTGTAATCCCAGCATTTTGGGAGGCTGAGGCGGGAGGATGGCTTGGAATCAGGAGTGAGAGACCGGCCTGAGCAACATGAGAAAACCCCGTCTCTACAAAAGATACAAAAATTAGCCAGGCACAGTGCATGCCTGACCTAATATTTTGTATTTTTTTGTAGAGATGGGAGGGGGAGATGCTCCCATTTTGCCCAGGCCGGTCTCGAACTCCTGAGTACAAGCCATCTTCTCACCTTGGCCTTCAGAGTTGTTGGGATTAAAGGTGTGAGCCACGGCGCCTCACTTGGTTTAGGCTATTTAATAACAAAGTCCGTGGCTTGGCTTGCTGGCTCACACCTGTAATTCCAGCACTTTGGGAGGCCAAGGCAGGTGGATCACCTGAGGTCAGGAGTTCGTGATCAGTGTAGCCAACGTGATGAAACCCAGTTTCTACAAAAATTAGCCACATGTGGTGGCACATGCCTGTAGTCCCAGCTACTCGGGAGGCTGAGACAGGAGAACTGCTTAAACCCAGGAGGCAGGGGTTGCAGTTAGTCAAGATCACATCACTGAACCCTAGCCTGGTTGAGAGAGCGAGACTCCAGAGTTTGAGACCAGCCTGGGCAATGTAGTGAAACCCTGACTCTACAAAACAAATGAAAAAGGCAGGTGTAACTGTGTCCACTTGTGTCTCCTGCCACTTAGGATGCTGAGGCAGGAGGATCACCTGAGGCCAGGAGCAGGTCTGCAGTGACTAGGGTCATCCCACAGCTCTCCATCCTGAGCAAAAGAATGAGACCATGTCTCTAGATAGCTAGCTAGATACTTGATAAGTAGTTTTCTATCACAATTTTTCTGTACATTTGAGCATATTTTTCTAAAGTAGCATTCAACACAACAGCATTTTACAGTGTTATTAGTTGTTAATGTGATTATGTTTTTCTGAAATACAGTATCCTTTACAAAAGCAGTTTTTGTCTGTCAAGGCACACAGATAGTCCTCAGGTGAATTTGCCTGATGTTGGTCACCTTGGTACCATTTCCTCCCGTTGATTGGAACAGTCAGTAATTTCAGGTCACCGTTACCCTTGGAGGAAGAGCCGAAAGGCAACAAGTAAGGGCACTGGTGTCCAGTCCCTTCAAGAAGCATTTTCACCTTCCCTTAAGGTTTCCCTTGATGAACATGGAAGTACTGTATGTAGAATTGACTGTTCCAGCATCTTTGTATATTAGACCAAATTTATATGTCTTCCTTTTATGAGAGGCACCCTGGTAGGCTAGGGGAGTTACACATGAAGTCTGATCTCAGCTTCTCTGTCCAGAGATGCAAGATGGTCCAATCAAATAACATTCTCTGAGCCTGTTACTCTTTTACTTATTTATTTTTTATTTTTTAGAGAGGGGGTCTTGCTCTTTTGCAGTGGTGTCATCTTGGATCACTGCAACCTCCACCTCTCGGGTTCAAGTGATTCTCCTGCCTCAGCCTCCTGAGTAGCTTGGACTACAAGGCACGTGCCACCACATCCAGCTAATTTTTGTATTTTTAGTAGCGATGCGGTTTCACCATTTTGGCAGAGATCGTCTTGATCTCTTGACCTCATGATCCACCTGCCTTAGCCTCTCAAAATGCTGTGATTACAGGTGTGAGCCACCACACTTGCCCTGAGCTCATTTTTTTAGCTGTAAAATAAGAATAACAATTGTACTAATCTAAAAAGACAGCTTATTGTATTGTCTTTTATTTTCTATGAAACTGTTTTTAACAGTAATTATTTTCTTTGCCATGCCACATTTGTTTTTGTTTTGTCTTTGTTTTTCTTTTAGATGGAGTCTGTTTTGTTTTGTTTTGTTTTGTTTTTTGTTTTCTTGAGATGGAGTCTCGCTGTTGTAGCCCAGGCTGGAGTGCAGTGGCATGATCTTGGCTCATCCTGTATCATACCCACAGAGACCCTTTTTTTCTCCAGGGCCTGGGAAGCAGCCAGGTTCCACGAGTTAAATGCAGATCTGAACCATACGGAGCTGTGATTAAAGTACACACCCTCCTCTTCTGAAAAGTAGCTAAGGATTCCAACTTGGTGTAGTGGAGAGTGTGGCAGAGCCAGACCAGACAAGGACTGATCACATGGAAAAGCATGTTGTCAAAGGCCTTGGTGAGTGCTGAGTGCCATAGCTCACACCTGTAATCCCAGCACTTTGGGAAGCTGAGACAGGTGGACCGCTTGAGGCCAGGAGTTTGAGTAGAGCCTGGGCAACATGGCAAAACCTGTCTCTACTAAAAACACAAAAATTAGCCAGGTGTGTTTTGAGATGGAGTCTGGCTCTCTCACCCAGGCTGGAGTGCAGTGGCACAATCTTGGCTCACTACAACCTCCGCCTCCCCCTCTTCAGGTTCAAACTGTTCCCATGTCTTAGCCTTCCAAGTAGCTGAGATTACAGGCATGTGCCATGCCACCACACCAGCTAGTTTTTTTTGCAGAGAAAGGGTTTCACCATGTTGACCAGGCTGGTCTCAAACTTCTGACCTCAAGTGATCTTCCCACTTTGACCTCCCAAAATGCTGGGATTACAGGCATGAACCACTGCACCCAGCCCCTTCAGGTGGGTTTTGAGGCTTCACTACGATACTAGTTTCCTGTTTCTGCTGCAACAAATTACCACACATTTAGGGCTTAAAACAACATAGACATAGCTGGGCATGGTAGCTCACGCCTGTAATCCACTCTGGGAGGCTGATGCGGGCGGATAGCCTGAGGTTGGGAGTTCGAGACCAGCCTGACCAACATGGAGAAACTATTTTTATATTTTAATAAAAATATAAAAATAGCTGGGTGTGGTAGTGCATACCTGTAATTCCAGCTACTCAGGAGGCTGAGGCAGGAGAATTGCTTCAACCTGGAAGGCGGAGGTTGCAGTGAGCCGAGATTGTGCCATCACACTCCAGCCTAAGTAAAAAGAGGGGAACTCTGTCTGGAAAAAAAAAAAAAAAAAAGCAACACAGATGTATTCGCTTATGTTCTGAAGGCCAGAATTCTAAAGTCAGTCCCACTGACTCAAGGTGGAAGCAGGGCAGATACCTTCCCAGGCTCTGAAGGAGAATGAGTTTCTGGCCCTGGAGGCTTCCTGGAATCCTCAGCTTGTGCTGCCCTTCTTGAATGACTCGAGGTTCCTGCTTCCATCACTACACTTCCCATCGCTCTCCATCACCTGCTCTGCTCTGGTAAGGATCTGGGTGAGTACATCAACCCCACTGTGACAAGCCAGAATAATCTTCCTGGCCTAAAGTCCTTAACTTTATTATATCTGCAAAGCCCCTTTTACCATATGAGGTCATGTTCACCGGTTCCTGGGATTAGGTTATGAGCATCTTGGGGGGTCACTATCAGCCTATTACAGGTATGCCGCAAAACTATTACACCTTCCTGGTGTTTCAGTGATTGGGAGGAAAAGGGTTGGGATTTTTGCTTTGGGGTTTTCTTTTTTGACATGAAGTCTTGCTCTTTTGCACAGGCTGGCTGCAGTCTTCGTTCCCTGCAACATTTGTCTCCTGGGTTCAAGTGATTCTTCTACCTCAACCTCCTGAGTACCCGGGACTACAGGTGCCTGCCACCATGTCTGGTTAAGTTTTGTATTTTTGGATGAGATGGGCACATGGAGGGGGCAGTGGAAGGTGGGGGAGGGGACGGAAGTTTCTGCTATGTTGCCCTCAGCTCAAAGCGATCCACTTACCTCTGCTCCCTAAGTGCTAGGATTACAGGCCTACATGGCCTCACTGGCTGCTGTAAAGTCTTATTTCCACAGAAGTGAGACATGTTTTAGGAAGTTTGCTAAAAGACCCCTGGAGACATTGTCGTTGTGGCCTCCTTGTTATTTAATTTGATGGATCTTTTCTGCCCTCCTCCTTTTCAGAAATTAAAAGGATAAAAAGATGTACTAAACTTTAAAACTTTTTTTACAGTCCCCAATTAAACTAATTATAAGAACCACCAAAAAAGGGAAAAATTTTTTCAAAAGCAGTAAAATGATATGGACTGTTGAGATGTAAAATATAGGAAATAAGTCATTATACGTTAATGTTGCTCTGACATAGGGACATATTATTGACAATCAATCTTTGCTCAATTTTCAGAGAAATGCAATGATCGTATCACTGATCTATGTAAACACATTGAAGAACTATCTGAAAGAAAATATGGTAAGTCTAAACTGGACAAGTCCTGAAATACTTTGTTCATGAGTGTTTATACAATGAAGTCACTGTTCATCTTGTAGTGTCTGTCTAAATATTAGAAACTTTCTTTCTAGATTACTGTAAAGCTAAGGAAAAGTTGTATTTCTTAAATTATCAGTTAGCATTTCTTTTAAACTTTCAGCATGAATATTGGCGATTTATTTACATATTTATTGCAAAGCCCTGGATCTTAGGGATTTAATTAATTTTTTAAAACTAATTATTTCTCTTTATCTGCTTTGTTAAATTCGGTATTTGGTTGGGCATGGTGGCTCATGCCTGTAATCCCAGCACTTTGGGAGGCCTAGGCGGGCAGATCATGAGGTCAGCTTGGCCAAGTCTCTTATTCTGTCTGAGCCTTAGTATGCTCTTTAGTGGTCATGAGAACTGAAGATCTATCTCGAAGATTTGATAGCATGCTACACTGCTTCACATAATACCGGGTATATAAATACATAATAAATGCATCTTGCTTATGATTTAATTTACTTATTTATTTATTTTTTGAGGCAGAATCTTGCTCTGTTGCACAGACTGAAGTGCAGTGGCATGAGATCTTGGCTCACTGCAACCTCTGCCTCACGGTTTCAAGCAATTCTTCTGCCTCATCCTCCCAAGTAGCGGGGATCATAGGCGTGCACCACCATGCTCAGCTAACCTGTGTATTTTTAGTAGAGACAGGGTTTCACCATGTTGGCCAGACTGGTCTTGAACTCCTGACCTCAAGTGATCCACCCGGCTTGGCCTCCCAAAGTGCTGGAATTTCAGGTGTGAGCCACTACACCTGGCCTATGATTTTATGATATTGTTAATTTAGTACTATTCTGAGTAAAAATCATTTGCTGTTAAAGTTTTATGAATTCACTGTTTTATACATTGACTGATAATTTTTATAAATATCAGTGCTTTTATAAGGTGAAATTGGTTATGTTGTGGGGCTTTTGTTGTGATGGTGGTTTATTAGATTATTTTGTTTAAAGACAATGTTCAGCTGTTGTGAAATTATAAAAACTATCTTCACACTTTATAATTTTAAAGCATTATTAATGGTAATTGCCTTAGGGGAAGATACTTTTTTTGTAATATGAAAGTATGATTTTCAAGGTTAGTGTACAGCAAAGGATATTAAATCTAAGCACTAATGTGCACTTGAAACATGAGTACAAATATCAGTGTTTAGCAGATAGACCTTAACACATACTGATAGCAAATAAATGGAGCTGTTTTGATGGGAGACTGTTGGTTATGTTTGATTTGAATATTCTTCATGCTCTTGACTTTTCTTTTTTTTTTCTTTGAAACAGAGTCTTGTTCTTTCACTCAGGCTGGAGTGCAGTGGTGTGACCTCAGCTCACAGAAACCTCCACTTCTCACATTGAATTTATCCTCTTGCCTCAGCCTCCCTAGTAGCTAGGACTACAGGTGAGTGCCACCATGCCCAGCTAATTTTTGTATTTTTGGTAGAGTTGGGGTTTTACCATGTTGGCCAGGCTAGTCTCAAACTCCTGACCTCAGTTGATCCACCCACCTTGGCCTCCCACAGTGCTGGGGTTACAGGTGTGAGCCACTCCCACCTGGCTAACACTTGACTTTTTTCTTATTTGACATGGAGTTTTGCTCTTGTTGCCCAGGCTGTAGGGCAATAGCTCAATCTCGACTCACTGCAACCTCTGCTTCCCGGATTCAAGCTATTCTTCTACCTCAGCCTCCAGAGTAGCTGGGATTACAGGCATATGCCACAGTTAATTTTATATTTTATTAAAGATGGGGTTTTTTTCATGTTGGTCAGGCTAGTCTGGAACGGTCTACCTCAGGTGATTTGCCTGCCTCAGCTTCCCAAAATGTGGGGATTACAGGCATGAGCCACCATGCCCAGCCCAGCTCTTGACTTTTTATAGCTGTTATGTTAGTTGAGTCTTGAGTAAATAAATGCTAGCTTAAAAGTTGCAGTTCAGGGAATCTTTTGTTTCTGTTATTAAGAAAATTATTTTTATAAGTCCAATAAGGTTACACTAATGTTTATGTTTTGAAAATATTACCTCTTCCATTTAGTACTATATGTATTAAATAATATTAGCTCGTATGTTTTTCTCACTTTATAATGTGGTTCAGATTTCTTTAGACAGTTTGGCTGTATCTACATTGCCTTAAAGTAATGGGATCTACCGATCTTTTCTTTTCTTTTTGAGCTGGAGTTCTGCTCTTGTCACCCCTGCTAGAGTGCAATGGTGATCTTAGCTCACTGCAACCTCTGCCTCCTGGGTTTAGGTGATTCTTTTATCTCAGCTTCCCAAGTAGCTAAGATGACAAGCACTCACCACCATAACTGGCTAATTTATGTATTTTTCATAGAGATGCGGTTTTGCCATGTTGGCCAGCCTGGTCTCCAATTCCTGACCTCAGGTGATTCACCTGCCTTGGCCTCCCAAGTGCTAGGATTACAGTGGTAAGTCACCCTGCCTGGCTGTAATGGGATATTTCACTGCAAACTTTGATGAACAGAATATTAGCATTTTTGATGTTATTTTTATTTTCCTCACACCATTTTTCTTTGGACTGAATTACAGTAACAAAAGTAAAGATCAAATTATAAAAGTTAAAGAGCAATGCCCGGTTCCGTGGTTGCCTGTAATCCCAGTACTTTGGGAGGACAAGGCGGGTGGATCACGAGGTCAGGAGATCGAGACCATCCTGGCCATCATGATGAAATTTTGTCACTACTAAAAGTATAAAAATTAGCTGAGCATGGTGGCGGGCACATGTAGTCCCAGCTACTCAGGAGGCTTAGGCAGGAGAATCACTTGAACCCGGGACATGGAGGTTGCAGAGAGCTCAGATTGCGCCACTTCACTGCAGCCTGGTGACAGATCGAGACTCCATCTGAAAAATGAAAAGTTAAAGAGCAATACAGGTTGTGTTTAAATGATCTCCCTTTTTCTTTTTGTCCTTACAGCTCAAACAATAAAAGCCAATGGTCTGTTGATGATCCTATACCCTTTTCTCCAGTCTCATGTTGAAGATCTTTATGTAGAAGGACTTCCCAAAGGAATGTTTTTTCCTTTGTGAGAGTTTTCACTCTTGTCGCCTCGGCTGGAGTGTAGTGGCATGATCTCGGCTCATTTCAACCTCTGCCTCCTGGGTTCAAGCAGTTCTCCTGCCTCAGTCTTCATATGGGCCATTTGAAGGTGTATCACAAATCCTGACCTTGTGATGCACCTTCCTTGGCCTTCCAAAGTGCTGGGATTACAGGCATGAGCCACTGTGCCCAGCCTATTTTATGTATTTTTTTATCTTCCCCTTTTCAATTTATCTGGGTCCAGCTTTAAGTCAGTGATGGCAATGTTAGCTTTTGAAACATGAACACCGCCCACACCTGACTGGCTGCAACTTACATTTTCTTTTACAATGTTGTGTTACTTTTGCTGAAAAAAATGGTATCCATGTCTTGCTTTTAGGCCTGAGATTTTTAAAGCATATGTGGGAATATGTGATTGTTTTTATAGGTATGTAGAGGAAAATAGCCTTGAATGCAATGCAATATTAAAGGATCCCATTTGCGATTTTTGTAGTATGCTTCAAAGAGCTGTGTGTTGCCAAGTTACCACTTTACTTGTGAGGACACATGCTCCATGAAGCAACTTATGAAGCAATTTGCAATGATTTTTTTTTTTGTTGTTACTCTGTAGAAAACTCAACTGAAGATTTAGTTGTGCTCAAGCATTCAGATTGTCTTAATTTTTTTCTGAGAGGGAGTCTTACTCTGTCACCCAGGCTGGAGTGCAGTGATGTGATCTCAGCTCACTGCAACCTCCCCTTCTTGGGTGCAAGCAATTCTCCAGCTCAGCCTCCTGAGTAGCTGTGATTCCAGGTGCCTGCCACCATGCCCAGCTAAGTTTTGTATTTTTAGTAGAGATGGGGTTTTACCATGTTGGCCTGGTTGGTCTCAAACTTTTGACCTTGTGATCTGTCTGCCTCAGCTTTCCAAAGTGTTGGGATTACAGGCAGGAGTTCCTGTGCCCAGCCTGTCTTTTCTTTTCAAAACCACCCTTGGTGATTAAATATTAAATATGTGCTAATGAATATTACTTTGCTAAATATTGCCTAGTGAATATTAAATTTTCTCACCTTTTAGACTTGAACTATGAATTCAATAACTGAAGATGTACAGCTTGATAAACCAGCTTCAGGAGGTACTTCTTCAGTCTTAAGTCAGATGAGAATATTATGTGCAATAATTATTGAATGATTAACATTGATTTCTTTAATGGTACCTTCCACATGAAATAAGATGTCTCTAACTATTAATTATTTTCCAGGATAAGAGAATTCATGTTGTCAAATTCTAATACTCTCTAAAACAGTCAACTCATTTTCTTTGTATTAACCCATTATAAATACATGTAGATACTGGATTAATGGGTAGACAGAAGTAAAACAACAATCTTTGTCCTACTTCTCAGATGCGAGATTTATTTGGCTTAGGGCATCAAACAGTTTATTGTTCAAGTCTATGCCAGTCAACTGAACAAGCATTCATCAAATGCTCGTGACACCCAGAACATAAGAAGGTTTCCTTTTAGAGTATGGAGCCATACATATCATGTCTTAATTGTTAGATGCATTTTCAAAGAAATAGAATTGATTTTCTCACTAGTTTTGGCTCTGGCGTGGTGTAGGGACAAAACAGAATGGAATTAAACTGTTTAGATTTACTAAAATCTAAATTTTAGATTGCCAGCAAGATCATGTCCCTAGTCTCCCCATAGCAAATGTTACTTGCTAGCTCTTTCTTTGTTTGTTTGTTTATTGAGATGGAGTTTTGCTGGGTTGCCCATGCTGGACTGCAGTGGCATGATCTCAGCTTGCTGTATCCTCCCACCTTCTGGGTTCAAGCAAATCTTCCTACTTCATGTTTCAAGTAGCTGGGATTACAGGCACCTGCCACCATGACTGCCTAATTTTTGTATTTGTAGTAGAGATAGGGTTTCACCATGTTGGCCAGGCTGGTCTTGAACTCCTGACCTCAGGTGATCTGCCAGCTTTGGCCTCTTAAAGTGCCGGGATTACAGGCGTGAGCCACTGTGCCTGGCCTGGTAGCTGTTCTTGAGCACACCGAGTTGTGCTTTTTTCCAGCTTTAATGAATGTCTGGTTCTTCCTTTTTTTGTTCAGTGTTAGCATTGTTTCAGTGTTAAGTACATTCTGGAATCTTAGAAATAATTTTAGTCACAGGAACGAAAAAATACTACCTATTTTATAATAATAATATTTAGACTGGGCATGGTGGCTCACGCCTGTAATCAAGCACTTTGAAGGCCAAGGTGGGCGGATCTCCTGAGGTCAGGAGGTCAAGACCAGCCTGACCAACATGGTGAAATCCCGTCTTAAAAAATAATAATAATAACAATATTTAACAATCCAAGTTAGTAAACCCATTACATTGAGAAAACTTGTATTTTTGTGATTTTTGACAGCAAAGGAAGAATGGTGTACCAGAATCACCAAATTAAGCAAGACAGTAGATCAGCTTTTCTGCAAAAAAAATTGGTAAGCCTTTTTATCCTCCTTTAAAGTATATTACTGAGTAATGTCTTTTGTTTTGTTTTGTTTTGTTTCATTTTCTTTACATGGAGTCTTGCTCTGTCACCCAGGCTGGAGTACAGTGGCTCTCTGCAACCTCCACCTCCCAGATTCAAGTAATTTTCTTGCCTCACTCTCCCAGGTAGCTGAGATTACAGGCACATACCACCATGTATGGCTAATTTTTGTATTTTTTTAGTAGAGATGGATTTCACCATGTTGGCCAGGCTTGTCTTTAACTCCTCATTCTGTGATTTTCACGTTTTGACCTCCCAAAGTGCTGGCATTACAGATGTGAGCCACCACACCTGGTGATAATGTTTTTCATGATGTTTTATCTTAGGAAAGTAAATACAATGAGTAGGACTCAGCTCAAGCTTTCTCTTACTGTTTTTTTTTTTTTTTTTTGGTGATGGAGTTTCAGTGTTGTTGCTCAGGCTAGAGTGCAGAGTGGCACTGGCTTGGCTCACTGCAACCTTCACCTCCCAGGTTCAAGCGTTTGTCTTGCCTCAGCCTTTCAAATAGCTGGGATTGTAGGCACCTGCCACCATGCCTGGCTAATATTTGTATTTTTAGTAGAGATGGGGTTTCATCATTTTGGCCAGACTAGCCTTAAACTCCAGACCTGAGTAGATTCTTTTTCCTCCCAACATGTTGGGATTACAGGCATGAGCCACTACACCTGGACTCTCTTACTTTTTTTTCTTTTAATTTAGATGGAGTCTCATTCTGTCACCCAGGCTGGAGTGCAATGGGGGGATCTCAGTTCACTGCAACCTCTGCCTCCCAGTTTCAATGATTCTCCTGCCTCAGCCTCCTGACAGCTGGGATTGTAGGCATGACCACCACACTCGGCTAATTTTATATTTTCAGTAGAGACAGGGCTTTGCCTTGGTCAGGCTGCTCTCAAACTCCTGACCTCAGGTGGTTCAGCTGCCTCAGTGTCCCAAATTGCTGGGATTACAGATGTGAGCCACCATGCTTAGCCATCCTACAGTTTTTAATATGCATGGATTATGGAAATTTTAATCCTACATAAGAAGAAAGAGTTGGGTAATGGAACCCCATGTGCTTTTTACTGAATAAATTTTTCTGTACAGTCAAAGGTTTTCTGCAGGAGGATTGACACCGTTGGGAAGCCTCTTTGGGCTTTACCTGTGCCTGGGTGCCACTCTGTAGTAATGGAGAGAGCTTTGGCAGTAGCCACCACTGGTCATTTGAAGGTACAACCTCAGCCAACCTGTCTTTTCTATCTTGTTCTATAAATACTTCATCAACACTTCAGAATACTTAGTTTTAATTTTTCATTCAACATCTTTTGCCACCCAAAGTTACTCTCTGCCCCATTTTTATTCTGCTTCTCAGCAGAATTCTAGGTTATTTCTCTCTGCCCCCCCCTTTTATAAAAACGTTCAAATCTTGTGGACTCTTCCTTGGCTCCTCTCTGTCTCATTTGCAGTCTTTCAAGGCCCCTGCCCTCATCCTCTCTACACTAGAGAGTGCCAGCCAGCAGCTTCATCCTGAGCTAGCGCTCTCTCTCGCGCTCTCTCTCTCTCTCACTCATCTTTCTCTTGTTACCCAGGCTGGAGTGCAGTGGCACAGTCTCGTTTCACGGCAACCTCTGCCTCCCTGGTTCAAGCGATTCTCCTGCCTCAGCCTCCTGATTAGCTGGGATTACAGATGTTTGCCACTATGCCTGGCTGATTTTTCTATTTTTTTTTTTTTAGTAGAGATGGGGTTTCACCATGTTGGCCAGGATGATCTCAAACTCCTGACCTTGTGATCTGCCTTCCTTGGCCTCCCAAAGTGCTCAGATTACAGGTCTGAGCCACTTTGCCCAGCCTCTTTCTCTCTTGTTACTGTGTCTTCCTTACAGATTATCCCACCCTGCCCACCTCTTAAAAATATTATATTGTGTCTTTGAGACCCTCATACCTGGCCCTGAAGGTGCTCCTCATACCAGACCTCTATATTTACCTATCTGCTTGACCCCTCCTCAGGCTTCATGTGTCCCAGGCAAAGTCACCATTTCCCTCTCCATGAGCTCCTCTCAGGGTCTACCAGCTACCCAAGCCAGATGCCCAGGAGTTACTCTGAGGTATGATTGTCTCCTTCCCGTATCCAGCCTAGCAAGGCCTGCTGACTCTGCCCGAACACAAAGCCCAGGTTCTACCCCATCCTCCTTCACTGCTCTCCAGTGCTCAGTTAGAGCCATGCCACAGAGCAGCCAGGTCAGGCTCATTGTAAGTAGGAGGTGGAGCCTGTCATTCTCTGGACTGTCATAGGTAGTGCCTTCCACTGTCCTTGGAGTAAACCTCACAGCCCCTGATTGGGTCTGCAAGGGTATCGGTGAGCTGCCCTCTGCCATTCCTCTGCTTTTCCCACATGCCGTCTGTGGAGTGCTTGCTCTGTGCCAGCCACTCTGGTCATTTGTGTGCCTTTCTTTTTCTCAGGTCACAGCCTCCTGGCACCGTTGTGCTGAGGGCTGGTGTTTGTGGACTGCTGTTGAGGGCTTTCTGTGCTTCTCGTTTCTATTAGCATCACAGTTGAAATGTTATCATGTTGGAGAGGCCTTCACTGAGCACTGTCTCATCTCAGCCTCAAGGCTCACTGACTCATCCTCCTTTCATTTTTCACAGAGCGCTGCTGGCTTTTTCCTCCTGCTTCGGCACAGTGGCTCTAACAGCCCAGATCACGCCTGTCTTGTTTACTTCTCAGGCAGGTTCTCAAGTGATTCTCCTGCCTCAGCCTCCCAAGTAGCTGGGATCACAGGTGTGCACCACCACACCCAGCTAATTTTATTTCTAATTTGTAGTAGAGATAGGGGTTCCACCATGTTGGTCAGGCTGCTCTGAAACTCCTGACCTAAGGTGATCCATTCACCTTGTCCTCCCAGAGTGCTGGGATTACAGGTGTGAGCCACTGAGCCTGGCCAGGAATGGATTATTTTTATGCTTCCCCTTTTGAGACATTGCCATGGCATTTGTAAACTGTCACGGTGTTGGTGGGAGTGTAGTAGCAGTGAGGATGACCAGAGGCCACTCTTGTCACCATCTTAATTTTGGCTGGCCACTTTACTGCAACCCATTTTATCAGCAATGTCTTTATGAATTGTATCTTGTGCTGACCTCCTTCCTCAGCCTGTGACTTAGAATGCCTTAACTATCTGAGAATGCAACTCAGTAGGTCTCAGCCTCATTTTACCCAGCTCCTATTTTAGATGGAGTTGCTCTGGTTCAAATGCCTCTGAAAGGGAAAAGGAAATCTTGGGATTTTCATTGCCGTGAACCACTGCAAGTATTGAGGAAATAATCACTACTTCCAACCTCATAATCCTGAAGTCATTTGGTACCTGTGAGTCAGGTGTTGGAAACTGGGCAGTGTGGAAGACAGTGCCCTGCCCCATGCATTCTGGAGCATTTAATCTGGTGGGGAAATGTGTAGTAAGTAGGAGATATTTACTATGGAAGAAGGGGTTATGGTCTGGGAAAGAATTACATGGAATAAGGGGGATAATGAGGTAGAGGGTGTGATTGGGACAGCCTTGGTGATGCGTGATGAGCACATTCTGCAGTTGGTCTCACCTCTTTCTAAAACTTTCAGTTTTCACTGTCAACCCCAACAAATGGTTTTTATTTTATAGAACGTTTGTCAGAATTAGGTTTATATACTTTCTTCTTGAATTAACAGAATAGTTTGATTTAACATCTTTTACTGTTATTTATTTATGGGCCTTCAAATTTGATGCTAATAACATGAAGTAAGAATTTAAGACAAGTCTTTAGATGTTACAGGAAAGCCAGTCTAATAAAGAAATTAATTTATTAATTAATTTCAAGTTGACATTCCAGTTGAGTTGTGGAGGTGGGGGAGGCAGTTTGGTAAATGAGTTCAGAAGTAAGGAGAAAGGTCTCCAAGAGATATCATTTTGTATTTTGTAGTAGTGTTTTGATAGTAGTCATTGATAACACCAAAATCATTTATCAGTGAGCTCGCTGACAGCTCCCTGACTTTTCTTTTCAAAGAAACAGGGTCGTGTTATGTTTTCTGGGCTGGGCTAGAACTCCTGGGCTCAAGTTATCCTCCTCAGTCTCCTAAGTAGTATCTAGGGCTACAGCCGTGTGCCACCATGCCCAAGTTTGAGCCACTCCCAGCCATCATGTTGCAAAATATTTAAATGTTACATTCAGTGGTGCATGGGAGATCTGTATATAAATAGCACCATGTAAATTGCTTGTTTTTCTTTAGAGTTCTGTTTGGATGTGGCTTCAGAGCATGGATTAGTAAATTCATATTTACTTCTTTTTATTAGGGCAGATTCTCACTCTTTTGTTCAGGCTGGAGTGCAGTAGCTCACTGCAGCCTCTTCCTCCCTGGTTAAACTGATTCTCTTGCCTCAGCCTCCTGAGTAGCTGGGACTACAGGTGCCTGCCACCACACCCAGCTTTTTTTTTTTTTTTTTTTTTTTTTTTTTTGGTAGAGGCAGGGTTTCACCATGTTGGCCAGGCTGATCTTGAACTCCTGACCCAAGTGATCCCCCTGCCTTGGCTTTTCAAAGAGTTGGGATTACAGGCATGAGCCATTGTGCCTGGCCATTTTTTTCTTTCTACATTTTTAAATTACACATTTTATACCTATTCAGAAGTAGAGAAAATAGTACGATGAACACTAAAATGCATATTCCTCAATTTCTGTGATTATTAAGATTGTCCTACATTTTGTTCTATTTCTTTTCCTCCCTTTGCAAGAATAATGTAAAGCAAATCACAGCCTTCACGTCATTTTACCTGTTCAGTGCACATCCCCAAACAGCCACTATCTCCTCACATCTGACAAAATTAACAATGAATCTTTGGTGTCAGCTCATTGTTTGCTGTATATCTGGATCCAAACAATCTTCTTGTGCTAAGTTTGGTTATCATGCCTCTTTTAATCTAAACTAGCCTCTGCTTACTATTGTTATTTCATATTTCATGAATTCTTTGTCGAAAGTTATTTCTTTTAAAATAGCATGCTTACAAGGTTGAAGAGGTAAAGAATATTGATCTTGTGGTTGCAGTGCAGGTGAAAGTGTAGCCTGAAATGTGCCAGTGTGCAGCAGCAATGGAGGAGGGTTATGAAAGGTCACCAGCCGGGAGTAGCAAAAGGCTGCTTCCAGATAGTATTTACAGGCTGGGTGCAATGGCTCATGCCTGTAATCCCAGCACTTTGGGAGGCCGAGATGGGCGAACCACCTGAGATGGGGAGTTTGAGACCATCCTGCCCAAAATGGTGAAACCCGGTCTCTACTAAAAAAATACAAAAATTAGCCAGGCATGATGGCAGGTGCCAATAATAGCTACTTGGGAGGCTGAGGCAGGAGAATTGCTAGAACCTGGGAGGTGGAGGTTGCAGTGAGCTGAGATCATGCCACTGCACTCCAGCCTGGGTGACAGAGGAAGACTCCATCTCAAAAAAAGTACTGCTTAGGTTGTATTCTTTATCTTCTATAATAATTTTCTTTCTCTGACTTCCTAAGTGTATTAAGAAAAAGCTTTATCTTTTAGGATCTTTGAAGATCTTTATTAAGACCAAAACTCTGAAGCACGTTCACATGATTTGTATATGGAAAGACTACCGGAATGCATTTCTTTCGGAAGTCCCTCATGATATGGAGTTCCAAGGCTGGGAAACATCAGTCAAGTGGGCAACTGAATTAAATTTTTATTAAAAGGTAAGATAATCTGCAGAAACAAATTAAGAGATTAATTTGATGAAGATGGGCCTTTCGTTCCATCTCATCATGACTTCTTTCTATTTACACTTAATATTTAGGTTCACTTATTGAACAAACATTTATTTAGTATAAGCATCAGATGTGCAAAATTGGGTTTGACAAGAACCCTGTCATTGGGGGCTTAATACTAAGAAAAATACAATGAAAAGTGTTTGAGCATTTTTGGGGAAGAAAGCAAGGATGGCATATTCAGTTACTGTCTCATTAAACATTAATGAGAAATTAAAAGCAAAGTATTATAAGTTCCATCAAACAAAACCATTTAAGTTTTTGTTTTTGATAATATTTCTTTAATAAAAGCTGCTGTCATTTCAGACCACTTGCTATTTAGGCCCTTAGGAATTTTTCACTTGAAGGCATGTAAAGAAAGATGAGCATTTGTAATGGATTTAACGTTCATCATTTGACTGCGTGACTGATCCCCAGAGCTGTAATTTTACTAACACATTTTTTCAGAAGTTAGTTAGCAGCTGCACCTCACCAGCCAGCCACCCTCAACATCCAGTGCTCTTTTGTTCTTCTATTTCTCCTCAAACTTGGTTACTCTCACAAAGTCATATAAACTTGCATTTCTTTTCTTTCCTTTTTTCTTGTTCCATCACTCAGGCTGCAGTGCAGAGGTGTGATCACGGCTTGCTATAGTTTCAAACTAAGTAATACTCCCACCTCAGCCTCCCAAGTAGCTGCGACTACAGATGTACACCACTACGCAAAGCTAATTTTTTTATTTTTTGTTGTAGGGATGGGATCATGCTGTGTCGCCCAGGATGGTCTTAACTCCTTACCTTAAGTGGTCCTCCTGCCTCAGCCTCCCAAAGTTCTGGGATTATATGCAGGTATAAGCCACCTGTACCCAGTCCCCTATTTATTTTAAATAACAGCTTTATTGAAATATAGTTAACATCCCTTACAACTGATTCATAAAAGTATGCAAAAGTATTCATGGAGCTGTGCATCTGTCACGACAATCAATTTTAGAAGCTTTCATTTCCCTCCAGAGAACTCTACATTTCTTGCTACTAGTTCCTACTCCCCCTATACCCCTGTGCTCCCATAGGCAGCCGCTGATCTGTTTTCTGTCACTTTAGAGTTGCATGATCTGGACCTTTTATATAAATAGGATTATGCAATATGTGGGGATCTTTTGTGGCTGGCTTTTGTTTTCGCTCCTAGCACAATGTTTACAGAGTTCCTTCATGTCATGGCATGTGTCAGTATTTTTTTCCTTCTACAGCTGAATAATATACTCTACGGTAGACTCACACTATATTTTATTTATCTGTTCATCAGTTGATGAACATTTCGGTTGTTTTCATATATTGATCATTATGAATAATACTGCTATGAAGATTTTCATGTACAAGTTTTTGTGTGGACATATATTTTTATTTCTCTGGAATCTATGCCTAGGAGAGAACTTGTTGCATTCTATGATACTGTACATTTAGGCTTTTGAGAAAACTGTTTTCCAAAATGGTTACACCAGTCAGGTACGGTGACTCACATCTGTAATCCCAGCTACATGAGAGGCTGCTGAGGTGCGAGGATCACATGAGCCTATGAGTTAGGAGAGACCAGTGTGGGCAAGATAGCAAGACCCTGTCTTGATTTAAGGAAATAAAATGCAAATGACAAGAAAAGAAACATCCAATCAAAGCAGTTAAACCATTTTATGTTCCCACCAGTAATGTATGTGGGTTCCAGTTTCTACATTTTCACCAACATTTGTTTTTTTGAGACAGGATCTCACTGTGTCGCCCAGGCAGGACTGCAGTGGTGTGATCATGGCTCACTGCAGCCCTCGAACTCCCAGACCCTCATGATCTTTTTACCTCCGCCTCTGTGAAGTTGGGACTACCTTCACATGCTACCACACTCAGCTAATTTTTGTATTTTTAGTAGAGACAGTGTTTCACTATGTTGTCCAGTCTGGTTTCAAACTCCTGGACCCAAGTGATCCACCTGCCTTGGCCTCCCAAACTGCTGGGA